ACCTTGAATGTTCTACTCCTTCCCTGTTCTGACTCCATAATCAACTTCTGATTGCAGTCATACAGTTTCAGAAGATTTTCCTTCATGGTAACTGAAAATCTCAATTAATTGTCTCACACTCATCAGATTGCTTTTGATGCCAGGTACATACCACATGTTCTGAATCAATGCTGTTTTCCCATTGTTCAGAATCACTCTGACATTTCCCATACCTTTTGCATTAAGAAATTTGTCATCAGCACATCTGATCTTTGTTCTCTTTTCAGAGTCAAAGTCAACCAACCATTTCTTGTTTCCAGTAAGATGATTTGAACAGCCAGTGTCCATATACCACCAGTCTATCAGATCCATATTATCAAATTCAGAGGCCATCAATAGCACAGATTCGTCATCAGAACTTCTGGCTATATTTGCTTCTTCTGATTTTCTCTCCTTGTTTGACCAACAATCTCTAGCAAAGTGACCAAACTTCTTACAACAGTAACATTGGATCTTCTTCTTGTCATACTTCTCTTTTCCCTTCTGAGCATTCTTTTGTCTATCAGAGGTTGAGCTTTCTGACTTCTGACCACCATCAGATCTTCTCCTGGCTTCTGACTGCTTCTGATACCTCCTATCAGAAGTTGCTTTCAGAGTCTGCTGCTCTACTTCCTTTTCAGAAGTTTTCTCAGTCAAACGCAACTCTTGCGCTTCTAGACTGCTCTGCAGCTCTTCAATTCGCATGGTGCTCAGATCTTTGAAATGTTCTATTGCTACCACAATGTAGTCAAATTGAGGGGTAAGGGATCTCAATACTTTCTCCATGATTGCTTCTTCAAAAAGAGTTTCTCCACACGCCTTCATCTCATTAGTGATCAGAATCATTCTGGAGATGTATTCAGAGACTTTCTCATTATTCTTCATGTTGAGATTCTCATATTGCTTTCTCAAGGACTGAAGCTTTACCTTCTTCACTGATGCGTCACCACCATAACATCTCACCAGTGTGTCCCACGCAGCCTTTATTGTTGTCGAATCTGCAATCTTCTCAAACACATTTACATCCACACATTGATGAATGAAGAACAATGCTTTCTGATCCTTCTTCCTTACTTCCTTCTGCGTGTTTTTCTGTTCATTTGTTGCATTTGCTGCTACTGGAACATAACCATCAGTGACAAGATCTAGAACATCTTGAGCATCAAACAGTACATGCATTTGGATCATCCAACGATTCCAGTTTTTACCGTCAAATACTGGAAGTTTGGTGTTCATGTTGCCGTTTCCGTTCATCTTCTACCTTGCACAGTACACGCAGATTTGTCACACAGTGTTTCCTAACCCACAGAATTAAAATTATGATCAGATTTTGTTCAAGATTCAACACGAATCTAAGAATCAAAATCAAACATACAAGACCTCACGTTCACTCGTGTTTCCCGTGTTTCCCAATGAATATGAACCGGAGCTCTAGATACCAATTGTTGGTGCAAAGGTAGAATAAATGATGAAAAGAGAAATATTCTATTAAGAGAATGACGGCTACACACTACTTAAACATTACAATAATTGATACCCTATTTATAAGCTAAAAACTAGGGTTACTAGAATAAGATAAAAATACTAAAATACCCTCTAACAAACTTAGGGGCTAGGAAAATAGTACAATTAATAAATATGAATTACTTCTAATACTTTTAACTGCAACTTATATGTTGCATAACATCTTTTTTCTTATGGTGAATAGTTTTTCTTTCCTAACATCATATTTAGACTATGCACAATCTCCCTGACAATAATACAATCTCCCTGACAACAATGATAATTTTATGAATATTCTCTCTAGAACAAATCAAGTTTGAAATAGTGATACCAATTTCAGAATGCACTCTTTTAATCTCTCAACAAAGGTGATTTTAAACTACAAGAAAATTGTTCTTTAGTGTCGACTAAAAGCCCTTGCTAAAAGGCAAAAAAATCAATGCTAAAGAGTGTTAGCGTCGACCTAGTGTATTGTCAGGGTCGCAGGGACCCTACAATGCTAGAAGCAAAGTGTATATTAGAGTTGGCTCAACGAAACGCTAAAGTGACGATAATACACAAAAGTCGACACTATATTACAAACATGTTTAGTGTTGACATCAGCCTGAATTGATGCTATTGTGTTTAATTAGCGTCAGCCTGGTGCGTTGCTACTTACTATATATAATCATGTAGCGTTGGTCCTTGGCGACACTATATTGTTGTATTCATTATGTAGCATCGACCTTAGGCGACACTATATTACTGTATTTTTTTATATAGCATCAGACAAGTGTGAAGCTAACTTTATAGATATAAACATGTAACATCGGTCTTAGGTGACACTATCTATCTTGTTCATGTTCAATCGTGTCGGCTTTTGAGGACACTATCTAGTCCTGTGTATTTGTTTAGCATCAAGTAAGTTAACGCTAAGTTTAACTTTTTTTTTTTGGATCGGCCTAAACCTCTTTGGGATGAAACATGTTTTTAATTTCTTTTTTCATAACTTCCAAAAAACTGTTTAGGATAAAACATACTTTTAATATCTCTTTTCAGGACGTACAAAAACTAAATAGAATAAAAATATTAAAAGGTAAAAACCACACTTGACCTCTGTCATCAAAACATAATATGCAAAAATTACGAGTCTGTATACATATTCCATAATATTCAAAGAAATAACAGAACTAACATCACAGAGCAAGTGGACAATAATTTGCACAATCTAATCTGTAAGTTTATGACTTATACCAACTCCAACAAAACTTAAGTTCCAAATCATAAATTGATAAACCCAAATGACAAAAGTTGTGGTTAGGTGTAAAAATAAAGTCAAATAGATAGATAAAAAGTGAAGATTATCATTTCCCACTTCCTTTGTGTGCTTTGATCATGGTACATAATCACAATCTAGTAAAAATTAGTTTGTCCATCAAACCAAAGATCGATATCACTTAGTTGATCCTCATCCGCTAATTACAAATTCCTTTCGTCTTCATTTTCATCTTCATATCCATCTTCAACTCTAGATCTATAATTCCAAAAATACCCATTAGACTATAAGTGAAACAATAACACATAAAATAAAACAACAAAAACACCAAATGAAAATAAAACAACAAAGCATATCTTTGTCGTTTGTAAGCACATATAGTTTTATAGGGTGCACTATTTTACCTCTGTGTTTTACATAAGCCGAGGGTTTTTAGTGAGACCCTCATTTTGTTATTTTAGACAATCTGTGTTTCCTGGTGATAAGTGTCAAAATTTGTTAAATATGTGTGTAGTTTTGTGGCACTTATTAGCTTAATTCATTGGATTTGCATGTCAAAACCTCAAGTGTATGTAAATATTGTATAGTTTATATTTTTATGTAAATATATTTTAGTTTGAGCAATTTCATCTCTTTTTTAGATTTCCTTGCATGATTGAAGCATTGAACACTTAAAGGCAAAAGAAAAAGCTTCATGATGCATTTTGGGAAGGAAATCTAGGGTTTTCTATGGCTTAGTGCGGTCCTAGCATGCTTAAGGAGGCCCAGGAACAGGTGTTTGGAAGTCGTTACCACGCTTAGCGCCCCTTATCACGCTTAGCACGAGTTATGGCGGTTTGTCATTTTAAGTGTGAACGCGCTAAGCGAGCTCTGCTCGTGCTTAGTGCGATTCCAATTTTCAGCCTTGTATATATTCATTTTTTCTTAGATATTTTGGGAGCTCTCAACTATTTTTCATATTCTCTTGGCACAACAACACAAGAAACCCATTTTTGGGAGAGAGGATCTGGGAAAATAACAAGAGAGGGTGCGCCTTGGAGATCTAGAGCTGTATTCGCTTCTATCATCGGGACACTGTGATGGATGCTTTTTCATCTTCATTCTTATCTTTGTATATTTAGATACCATGGGTAGCTAAATCCCTTTCTTGTTGGGATTGAATGCAATTTTACTATTAAAGTATGTATTTTTATGGATCATGGCAGTATGTACAATCTATTTATGAATCTATATCGATGTTATCCTTGTTTACTTATTTTATGTATTGATTTGAACTGTTATTGAGAAATACTCTTTGAATCTAGATCCAGGATAATCATTTGTTAGTTTCTAAACTCTAAACATAGATTAAGATCTAACATTCACTGTGACTTATCACCATCAGCGGACCATAGAAAATTTCTTTGTATAGAAATCAATTTAGATGCAACCAAAGATGGAACTTTAAAGATGGAAAAGAAGTGAATTGGAATATTAGTAAGAACTGAATTGAGAAGAGTAAGTCTCCCTCCAAATGACAATAATCTACCCCTCCAAATTGATAGCTTAGCTCTAAAATTATTCACAACAGGATTCCAGAAATTCACACTTTTATGTCTACCACCAATAAGTATGCAAAGAAACGAAAATGCTAACTTATACTAAGCCAGAAAATTCGCAACAGCCTCCACGAACGAATCCTCCAAGCCAACACCAAAAAGACAACTTTTGCAGAAATTTATCTTCAATATGAGTTCGAAGCCACGCAAGATGCTTTTAATACCCTAAGGATCAAACCAATCTCCATCACTAATAAGGACAGTATCATCGGCTTATTGAACCATAGAAGTAAGTATTAATACGAAAACCTTTGAACAACGCCTTTTAATTTGCAACCCTAACCAACAACGCCTTTTATAAAATTGATTCATTTCAAAATTGTTCTTTTTAAAATATTAATTATTAAATTTTAAAATTTTCAAAATTAATGCTAAAATAAATATTAATTAAAGAGACCGATTTTAACATGAAAAAGTTTACAAAAATTAAACAAAATTGAAAGCATCAAAAGCAAAAAATGATATATTAATAAAAACTAAACAATAAAATTTAGAAAAATACAAGGATTAGAATAGTATATTTGCAGGACTAACATCATATTTAAACAAAAATAATTTATTATCCAAGTAGTTAAAGAAAATATTATTCAATTAACATAAAGTGGCTCTCTTTAACAATATTTCAATTAAGCATATTTATCAGCAATATCAAGAAGTGATAAACAAAGTTCTTGAGGTTTGGAAAGCATAGCCATGTGATCAGATCCATTAATCACTTCCACAACATCAATTCCAGCATTTTGTATCATCCATTGTTGAAACTCCACCGGAATCGCCAAGTCCTCATTTGCAACAACATAAACACTACGAACAGATCCATATCCTTTTTTTGAGAAATTCTCTGTCTCAGAGAATTCCTCAACAAAGAGTGATCCGGTTCTTCTTAAATTATTGACCAATTCCAAATCCTACAAAAGTTTCAACCAAACAAATTTTTAAGCAATAATCATTGACATGTGTTCGTCTAGCTAAACTTATTGGGAAGAAGTTTTACAAAATTAGATGCCAAAAATATACCTCTTTGGAACATAGTTGAAAGAAATTTGTGGACAAAAATTTGGATCCAAGAAGCAACAATGTTTTGTTTCCATCAAATGGAAGCTCAGAGTCTAACCATCCTGTAATTGGATATCTCTCAATATACTATCCATACATTGCACAAAAAATGTACGTTAGAATAGAACTAAGAATTGGAAATATATTTTATTAAAAATGTACAAAATTACTATATGAAATTCTCACCTGTTGAAATACATATGATGGTTGATGTATTGTATCAGGAATAAAAGCTGCTATGAAGATTCCAACTGCTATTTTTTCTGGGAATTTTTCCATTGCAAGAGCTATACTCATTCCACCAAAGCTATGTCCTACAAGAATCACTTTTTCATTTGGATCAAGTGATGCTAAAAACTCTAACAAAGGCTTAGAATAGTCTGCAAAAGTATCAACATCTTCTATTTTTTGTGTGTTGATGCCACAAGCTGCAAGATCAAGTGCTGTGACTTTGTGACCGATAGATTCTAATTGTGGTTTTAGTTTGTACCAACACCAGGCACCCATGCATGCACCATGAACAAGAACAAAATGCTTCTGTTGTTTTTGGTCCATATTTGCTTTAGACATTTTGGATATGTCTTTGCTGTTAATTTTATATATAGTGAAATAGTTTGGTAGTACTCTTTTTAGCTAGATAAGGATTTGGTAGGTGTAAGTGTAACAATCTCCCACCTTTTTTCTTTTTCAATAACGTGTCTTATTTGTTTTTTCTTCTTTTACTATTTATTAAGTTACGGACTTAAATGCATATTTAATTCCCTATTTTTACTTTATATCAATTAACAGAACATAATAATAACAAATGTTTTTTTTTTACCAAAAAAAGAATTAAATAAATAAAAGCAAGCAACATAAAAATTCTAAGTTTTTGAGTGTCAAGCTTGTTTAATAAAAAATCTTTGTTAGCGTTATTATGTACAAAATTGAAGTAATAGTTAGTTTTAGACCTAAAACTATTAATGGTGGCTATGCACGAATTCCTACCCTAAAACCTAGCAAGGTTTCTGGCTTTCCAGATCTCAAAGAAAAGATATACAAGAGATGCATTGAAGGTAACAACAAGCTAGGCAGACCAGTCGGGATTCATGGCCAACATGCAGTCATTGAAACAACCTAATTGGCTATGAACTAAAGCCCAACAAAGAGATAAGTTAGCACCATCATTGAGATTTTTTAAGGATCAAATCCCTAAGCCACCATTCTTAAAGTTATTGCAACATTTATTTCAGGCAACAGTGACAACTTTTGTTTTGTTCAAATCCCCACAAGTGTGTCAACCCAAATGTTTGGTCTTCATTAAACGAGGCTTCATTGTCTTTTCTATCTAATGTTGCATAACAAAAACTGAAGTAAAAGCATCAGAACTATCGGTTAGTCAAGTGAAACTATCTTTCACAGTTGGATCAGGCTCCCCTTTTTAATTGAATGAAGAGAAACACCGAAAATATTAAATTTTAAAAATACAAAATTTATTCTCAACAGAAAAGTACAATTATTTTATAGTTATTAAAAAATAATGTATAGTTATAAAATAAATAAATTATTTTATGAAATTGGATAATTTGAAAATAATTAACTTTTATCGCACAAGTTATTATCAACATGATACTTATTTTATTGTTAATCAATAATTGTTTTTATTTGAGAGACAAAATTCTTATTTTAAAACGTCAATTTTTTTTCATTCTCAATCTCACATGTTTTTTGTTATGATTATTTAATAGAATTGAGTTTATATGATCATTGTTCATTTTACTATTAAATAATTCATTTCAAATTTATATGTATATCCAAATATATTTTATACCATATCAAATTGAATAATATTCAATAATTATGAAGATAATTAATTTTTTATCTCACGAGTCACTATTAATACAATATTTATTTTAATTTTAATTAAATTTATATGATTATTGTTTATATTAAAATTAAATATCTCTTAAATTTTACTTATATATATAAATATAATATATTTATCTAAGTGCAGATGAATGAGCGGTATCATTATCTTTATAGTTGTAGTTTAGAATTGTTTGCATTGTGAACCTCATGTAAAAAAAAATAACTAAAAAGAAAAAAGAGAAAGTGGAATGTTAAATAAGGTTAGAAGTTTGAAGATAAATAACTTTATTATGAAAGAGAAAAAAAAATGTAGAAAAACACAGTTGTTGTACTGATACATTAAGAGATCCAATTGCCTTTTGGAGGCACCATTCAGTGCATGCATGCTCGTTGTTGGTGACAGTACTAACAGGGACTAAATGGATTTATCTAGCAGGTGGGTCCTTTCATTTTGGATCCTTTCTATTTTCTTTGACATGTGATAGTTCTGTGGTTTAACTCCTCCATCTTTCGAAAAGAAAAAAACTAAGCTAGATGGATACTCGTCATTGGCGTTAGTTCATAAAATCTTCTGGACATAAAGTCACAACATTAGACATGCCTGCTTCTGGTATCCATCCAAAACAAGTTGATTCCATTGAAGATTATTATGAACCATTGATTCAATTGCTAAGATCATTGCCACAAGAGGTGAGGGTAATCCTTGTGGGCCATAGTTTTGCTGGGATTTGTATATCTATGCTTATGGACTTTTTCCCAAAGAAAATTGCAGTTGCTGTATTTGATGCATCTATCATGCCCAAGGTTTTAAAAATCGAGAATTTACTTAAAATTGAATGGAAGTTAACAAATCGCAATTCAAAAATCAAAAGTAAAATTCTACTATAGAAATATATATATATATTTAAATAATTTTATACACACATTTGAGAATTTTTTACTCAAATAATTCAATTTTTTTATAAAAAAAAATCTTAAAATACCTCACTTCTTAAAAATATTTTCAAAGTACTCCAGTTAGAGTTTGGGCTTACACAAGAGGGTCATTCTAATTGGCGACCCTTTGTTAAGAGCTTAGGGGTGTCGTCAATTGGATTGTAGACACCTCACGCAGTCTCCAATCCAATTGACGCCTTGGTTATGTACTTAAAAGGGTGTCGCCAATTTATCTGGAGACCCCTTACAATTTGAAAATTTTTTGAGAATTCTTATTTTGAGAATTGAACATATATTCATCAATTTCAGAGGTTTTAGGCATAACCTTAAAACAATGATTAGATAATTTAATTGTGTTAAAAGTGTAAATTTACTTGAGATAATTACAGTGTTGGATGAGTTGTAATTTTCTGAGTTTGGGTGTTTACAGAATCAAAATCGGAGATCCGAAAGACCTCCAACGGTGAAAAACGCATAAAATTCTGCATGCTACCCGTCACGACTGTTCATATTTTTGGTCGAAATCGTTTTGGACGTAACTTTTGATCTGTATGTCCGTTTTGGTCTTTGTTCGAAGTGTTGGAAAGCTAATGAACAAGGCTATAATATAGTATAGATAATATAATTGGTTGCTCAATATTTTTATATCTAATATGTTTGAGAATTCAATTGAGTATATATTCTATTAATGAATTATTGCACTATTTGTCGTCGGTTGTGAAATTATTTGTGGATAATTTATTGAATACTTGTGTGTATGCTTCTATAAGTATATTTTGGTGCATGATAGCATGAAATGCATGATGGTTATTGCTTGTTGTAATGATAATACAGTTGTGATTGTATTGTAAAATATGGTGTATAGTGAATTTAATTATTGATGATGAATTAATTATTCTATGATTAATCAATAATGTGTGTTGTGTGTATTGAGATTGGATTGTGTTGATACTTTTGTTTATTGTTTACTAAGTGTCGTGGTAATGTTTGAAGTAAGAATGTTATGATTATAAAAATGTGATTATTGATGATGACCTTTGTAGCGTGAAAACATTGTATGAATGAATATCGATGTATGTGGTAAGTAATTTATTATGTTGAATTACGTGTGTATGCATATGTTTGTCATGAGTCAGTTATCATGGTTTGCATTGCATAAGACTTGAACAAGACTCGTACTCACTGGGGTAGAATGATTGAGATGTCGTTCCTAGTGGGGTATAAGTGATATAGTCGTACTCACTGGGGTAGAATGACCGAGATGTCGTTCCTAGTGGGGTATAAGTGATATAGTCGTACACATTGGGGTAGAATGACTAAGATGTCGTTCCTAATGTGGTACTCAGTGGGGTAGAATGACTGAGATGTCGTTTCTGGTGGGGTATAAGTGATATAACCGTACACACTAGGGTAGAATGACTAAGATGTCGTTCCTAGTGGGGTACTCACTGGGGTAGAATGACTGAGTTGTCGTTTCTAGTGATGTATAAATGATGTATCCATAATTCTGAATGGGAATTGATGAGAATTGATGGGTTCTATATGAACCAAATGGCCAGTTGCATTGTGTTGCATTGTTATTACACTGTGGTTGAAATATGAGATTATGCGAAATATATGAAATTGATGAATTGGGGAAATTGTGGATTTGTGAGTATGTACTTATGAATAGTATGGTAACTTGAGTGATAATATATTGATGACACTTTTGAAGTGTGAGAACAATTGTGATTATGCTTGTATGCCTTAAATTATATATCATCTTATAATTTCAATAATTATGTGAATTCTCACCTTTCTGTTGGAATTGTGTTTTGTACGACATCCCTCAGGTACCAAGGAGTAGAGTTGCCTCTAGTGCGAGGTAGCCGTTGGAGTAGCTGATTTAGTTTCTTTATTTATGTTGGGTCGAGTCGTGCTCTGATCATGTAACACTGGGATCGTTTTGATTTATGTTTGAGAGATACTTTATGTACTCTACTTTATTTTGTTATTGTTATTTGAATTATGTGAAGTATAAACTTTTATGCCTAAGTGATGATTATGAATGAGTTGATCATAGGGCTTTCATTATGTTAATTTATGATTGAAGTAACTTCGTTGCTACATGCTATGTGAAAGTATATGAAAAGCATGAATTTATTTTGAGTGTTATTGAGCATGACAAGTATATGTGTGATGTTTTGGATTATATGTGACACCCTTATTTGAGATGCATGATAATTTACTCTGATTATTTATATATATTTTGCGGGGTTTAGAAGGGTGTTGCATAATCGATATTTGAAAGTGGATATGGATCCTTAAGGCATGTGGTGTTCAAATCTTTGAAATCTACACATATTCTCTATATGTTGTTAATTTTCGTACTAGAACCACATTGTCTAGCCAGGTGGGGTATATATTTCTTGTGATGAAGCTGGCCTGATCAAATAGTTTCCCCATATCTTCATCAATGGCGGCCCTCTTCTCCTGGCCAACTTTTTGTTTCCTTTGTGTCATTGGTTTTACGAAAGGGTGGATGACAAGCTGATGTCTCGCCACTTTAGTATCTATCCCAGACATATCTGAAGGAGCCCAAAAGTACAAGTCTATATTCTTAATAAGTTGGTTGATTAGATAACGATCTTCCTCCTCAAAAAGAGAAATTCCTATATTTGTGGCTTGATGGGTGAGAGGGTCTATTTTGAATTCCTTTGAGTCTTCTATGGGTGTGAGCCTTTAAACTTTCGCGCCCAATCTGGGGTCCTAACACTCGAGGTCAATATTTGGAACCTCAGAAGGGG